AAAAAGTTAAACATCTTATAAACGTAAACAATGGAAAAGATGCATATTCGCTTATGTTTGTATTTTATAAGACGATACTAATATGGGAATATTACATGCATTATTATTGGATACAGTTAAGTAAAACATCAATTTTATTAAAATCATGTTTATTTTAAATACAGCTGTACATTTTGACTATAGTAAATGGATATATAATTTAGTCAACGGCTTACGCTAATTTTATATGTCATGTATGATGCTACCCCCTTAAAATTAGCTTCAAAATTAGGTCTTCAAAAGTCACATGATACGCGAGTATATACGGGATATATAACAAACCAACCTATAAGAATATTCTTTGGAAGTTACTTAAATCCCTTCTAGATTATAGAAATGGATAGGGTATACTGTGGTCAAAAATGGGGGATGAGTTTAATACTAAAGAATAATACGAAACTGATCCCTCACTTTCTATCATCCTTTCATTTGCCCACCGCTAAGTATGTTTTGGAATATCATCTATGAATCAAATATGGCCAAGAAATGGGTATGTGTTTAATACTAAATAAGTATAAAAAACTGATCCCCAATTTGTACCATCCGTTCCTTTGATTATCTAAGGATTTTTTTTAGTTACCATATATACTTTCGTGTCATGTGACCATTGAAGGCCTAATTTTGAAGCTGATTTGACTACAGTGAATGGATATATAGCAGGACTTACGATAATTCTACATCTCGTGTATGATGCGACCTTCTTAAAATTAGCTTCAAAATTACATCTTCAAGAGTCGTATGATATGCAAGTATATACGGTCTATAACTTAAGGTTAATATGAATAATGGCAACAAACGAATGGAAATCACTATTTAGTTGTTAGCAACGCAATTATTAAGAGAACTGGTGAATAGAGAGGTTCCTGCCGATGTTAATGCGTTAAACTATTTTAACACTGTATTTTTTTTTCTTTATTCCCGTCCTAACTTTTCATTTTTGTTTTTTTTTAACATTTCCCCTTCGTTCTGATATTTTATTCTATTTAATTCGTCTACCTTTATTTTTCTTGACTTGCATTCATTTTTCTTCCTGAAATGTCCGGAAGCCAAATAAAATATTCCGTGACGCATGCGCTGTCTGCGCTGTGATTGTAATTGACGTAATTTTGTCGACTATCTTCAATTGCACAGGTTTTCTGACGCCGATAAGCCGACATTTGTCAATCAATACCAAATTTGTATCATTCGTTCGACACATAAAAAAAGCTCAATTTTGAAAGAAATCATATAAATTAAGTACGCGATATTAATCATTTTTGCTTGCACTTTTCTTTTTTCTTCTCTGTCGATTTGTCACATTTTTCTCCCTTTTAACAATTTAGAGCTTACGTTTTGTTTGAAATATTTCCTTAATCTTTCTATTTATTCGTTAAAGATTTTAATTTTATTTATTCAAGAATCCGTGTATTTTTTACGTTTCTTCTTCTGTGTTGCTGATGTTTTAATGGTTTTCGATTATCTTTCATTCATTCAGTCTTTCTTTCATTCCCCCTCCTTTTTTTCATACTTTTTTCTTTTTCTAAAGTACTATCTTCTTTTCTCCTTTTTCTTTTTCAGATACTATTCTTTCTTTCTTTCTTTCTTTTTGTTCATTCATTCATTAATTCATTCTTTCTTTTATTTTTATAACTATGTTCTTTTTTTCTGCTTTATTCTATTTTCATTAGATATTTCTTTCATTCTTCTTTTCTTCCTTTCATTACTTTTTCTTTCTTCCTTTCTATAAGCGTTCATTCTCCTTTTCTCTTTTTATTCTTTTTAACACGCATCTTTCTTTCTTTCTTTCTTTCTATAAGCGTTCATTCTCCTTTTCTCTTTTTATTCTTTTTAACACGCATCTTTCTTTCTTTCTTTCTTTCTTTCTATAAGCGTTCATTCTCCTTTTCTCTTTTTATTCTTTTTAACACGTTTCTTTCTTTCTTTCTTTCTTTCTTTCTTTCTTTCTTCCTTTCTATAAGCGTTCATTCTCCTTTTCTCTTTTTATTCTTTTTAACACGCATCTTTCTTTCTTTCTTTCTTTCTTTCTTTCTTTCTTTCTTTCTTTCTTTCTATAAGCGTTCATTCTCCTTTTCTCTTTTTTTCTTTTTTTAACACTTTCATCTTTCTTTCTTTCTTTCTTTCTTTCTTTCTTTCTTTCTTTCTTTCTTTCTATAGGCGTTCATTCTCCTTTTCTCTTTTTATTCTTTTTAACACGCTTCTTTCTTTCTTTCTTTCTTTCTTTCTTTCTATAAGCGTTCATTCTCCTTTTCTCTTTTTATTCTTTTTAACACGCATCTTCTTTCTTTCTTTCTTTCTTTTTTCTTTCTTTCTTTCTATAAGCGTTCATTCTCCTTTTCTCTTTTTATTCTTTTTAACACGCATCTTTCTTTCTTTCTTTTATTTCTTTCTTTCTTTCTTTCTTTCTTTCTTTCTTTCTTTCTATAAGCGTTCATTCTCCTTTTCTCTTTTTATTCTTTTTAACACGCATCTTTCTTTCTTTATTTATTTCTTTCTCCTTTTATCTTTTTATTCTTTTTAACACGTATCTTTCTTTCTTTTTCTTTCTTTCTTTCTGTAAGCGTTCATTCTCTTTTTCTCTTTTTATTCTTTTTAACACGTATCTTTCTTTCTTTCTTTCTTTCTTTCTGTAAGCGTTCATTCTCCTTTTATCTTTTTATCCTTTTTAACACGTATCATTCTTTTTCTGTCTAACTTCCTTCCCTCCCTTCTTTCTTTCTGTTCATTCATTAATTCATTCTTTCTTTTATTTTTATAACTATGTTCTTTTTTGCTGCTTTATTCTATTTTCAATAGATATTTCTTTCATTCTTCCTTTCTTTCTTTCTTTCTGTAAGCTTTCATTCTCCTTTTATCTTTTCTTCTTTTAACACGTATCTTTCTTTTTCTGTCTTCCTTCCTTCCTTTCTTTCTTTCTTTCTTTCTTTCTTTCTTTAATCATTCATCTTCTTTTCTCCTTTTATTCTTTTCCACACACATCTTTCTTTTTTTTCTTTCTTTCTTTCTTTCTTTCTTTCTTTCTTTATTCTGTTATCTATTCGAAAACGTAAAATCTGTTTTTCTTTCAGTTTGTTTCTGGTTTTTCATTCTTTCATCCATTCATTCTTTCTTTCTTTTCTTGTATTTATAAAATTACGTTCTTCTTCTCTTTTATCGACAGACATGTCTTTCATTCATCAGTTTTACTTTTTCTTTCATTCTTTTATCGACAGAGATTTCTTACATTCTTTATTTTTACGTCTCCTTCACTTTTTAAGTTCTAAATTATCAGTCTTCTTTTTTCTTCGGATCATCTTAAAACGCATTTTCTTTCTTTCTTCTCTTATATTTCTTCTGTTAAAAACGCAATCCCTCTGTTTATTTAGGTTGTTTCTTTCTTTTTTAATTCTAAAACTACATTCTTCTTTTGTTCTTTCTTTCTTTCTTTCTTTCTTTCTTTCTTTCTTTCTATTTAAGCTTTTCAATCTTCTTCCTTTCCTTGTATTTTCTTCCTTCACTTTTCTCCCTTTCTTTGTTCCTTTCTTTCTTTCTTTCTTTGTTCCTTTCTTTCTTAACTTTTCATCTCTTTTCTTTTCTATTTAAACGTTTCCATCAATATTCTTCGTTTCATTTTCCTTCCTTCCTATTTTTCTTTCTTTTTTTCTTTTCCCCTATCTTTATTAGCTATTCTCCCTTTTAGTTCCTTTTTTTCTTTCGTTCATTTCTTCTCATATCTATTTAAAAATGTAATAATTGTCCCTTTTTAATTCTAAACTTACATTTTCATGTTATTCTTTTTACTATATTTCTTTCTTTCTTTCTTTCTTTCTTTCTTTGTCTCTTTTTTATTTCTTCCTTTGTTCTTTGTTATTTTTGCTTTTATTCTTTTTACGTTGTTTCTTCCTTCATTATTTCCATTCTTTCTTTCTTTCTTTCTTTCTTTCTTTGCTTTTCATTCCTTTTGCTTTTTATTTAAGCTTTTCAATCAATCTTCTTCCTTTCATTTTTTATTTATCTTTCTATTTTATTCGTCTCTTCATCCTTCAAGTTCGTTCTATTTACATATAGCACTTTAGAAGAATCTGCAATGTCATTGGTCATGACCCGGCATCTCGACTTCATTCATTTTCCCCACTGTCGTAACGTAGCTATTCTCTGTGTGTGTGTTCCTTTCTCTAAAAATACTTTCATGGTAATTTTTTCTGGTGAACGTTTCTCTATGGTATATCGACTTTAGAAATTTAAACGTTGTACTAGATTGCCGGTAAGGTCTCATCATTTTAAAGTTAGAACGGCTTCTTTTTGCACATTTCTTTTGTAGAACTCCATTCTTGTTTCTTGCCTTTCAGTCAACTTTGATCTTAAAACCTCTAAATGACCTACAGGCTGTTGTTAACCGGTGCAAGTAAGGGGTTTGTTAATATATGATATACCTGTTTCTTTAAACATGACGAGGCACTTCTGTAGAGCTAGGTCTCTCTTCCATCAAACAATTAATATTCTCACAGTTTTTAACTATCTACACACCTATTCTTCAACTGTATATTTGACGATTCTTTCTCTGTTTTACTTTTCTACGGTCACTTAACTTTTCTCGATTTACCTGTATTCTTGGTACTATTTTCTTATTTACTACTTATTAGTAAGAAAACAGGATTCACGCGTATATTTGTTTTTTTTTACAATAATGTTCGCTCTATACAAGGCCCAAGAACCACTCTAGGTAGAAGGTTACAGTTTAGGAGAGACAGTGTGTAGGGATTTGTAGGGAAGATAACATTTTTTAGATTGTACGAATTTAAGATATTATAATGATTTTTACTGATAAGCGTTCTACTAATTAACCCATAACTGGGGGAGAAGAGGTGGATTCATTCTTTTCCAAGGGTATTTTCGTGTAAATGAATATAACGAACCTAACTGGAACTCGACTATCCAATTTCCAATACGAGACGTTATCCATTATACCTTCCGCACACCCATACTTACAACATCTGGTATTACCAAACGGTCACCTATCTAAGTACTGATCAGCCCCAATGGTTCGGTGATCGTACGAGAACCGGTATTTCAACGTGCTATGGCCGTAATTTTAAAAATTTAAATGCAATGTCGATCGTTATCTTCTGTCTTCTTAATTCCTGTTCTTTTATTGTTCTCTCTCATTAATAATGTTTTCTTTCACGTATTCTTTCACGCTCAGTAAGCATTTGTGTCTTAGTGACTTTATTGCCTTGCTTGGGGTAAAATGATAAAAAAAAAGATATTTCCGTGAGCCTACCTTTCCAAATATTGCAGTTCAGATATCTGTAATAAAAAAAATAAGGAAGTTTTCAGTTTAAAAGGACGCCAGGCGGATATGGGTTAGCCAGGCGGCTTTTTCTCTCATACGGTGTAACAGCAAAATTGTCTAAATCAAGTAACAGCAAAATTGTCAAATTGTTAGATTAAAATTTGAACCGTTGTATGAACCGTTAGAAATGATTAAAGATATCTTACTGGAATCCTCCGAGTTTTTTATGACACTACTGGACTCTACTTTGAGCAATAAGAATGTATAATTACTCTCTAAGCTTGACAGAAGAATCGTGATAAAATCAGTCCTAAACGAAAATGACATGTTCGTCATTAATTAAACATGGCTAAGGATCGGAAGCTCATGTTGGATTGAAATAAACTTAAAATATATTATTCCAGTATCATTTTCCAACGTATTCATTATTCACACTCTCTAACCTTCTAACTTTCTATTCTGCTTTCTGCTAGGTTTCATGTTTTCACTGTTCTTTGGACTGTCATAGCTGAAACTCCCCTCTCATGTGACAAACGTTTTATGGATTGAGTTGGATCTTTTCTAATTGTTCTCTTTTGCTCAAAGTTATGACTTCCTGATCCAGGTTTCCTCTCTACTCTTGCTTCTTTTTAAAACTTATTCGCCGTTCTCTTGATGGTTCTTGAATGGACGTTGAAGATGGAAACCAGAGTATGACTGTTGGTATCGTTACTGAAGGCCTGAATGATCTTTTTCCTCTCACCATTGTTCAGTTGGGAAGACAGAGTAAAGCTGACACAAAGCGATTTTAACCTGCTCTCTTTCTAGCTGAATAATACAAGGTTTTTTTTTAAGTGATTCTTACGATAAATGGTGTCAAGATGGCCAAATGTCTCATCTGAAAACCTGGAAAAAAAGACATTCAATAGGTTTAGTGTATTTTAGATATTCAACATTTTGCGGGGTGGAAAATTATGCTGTTAAACGATTTGGACAATTTTGTAGTTGCACCCGGTATATTGTGACCGTTTCACTTCATAAGTTCTGGATGAAAACTTGGAAAACTTCCAACATATCCCAGGAAATTACAGAATTTATAGGAAAAGAGAAATCGCTAATTTAAATTGATGTCATTAGGGTTTCGTTAAAATAAACGAAGCAAGCGTTAAATAAAAAAACGAACAATAGAAAAGCATCATTACCAATTTTTACCCAAGTATTTCGACAGTTGTACACTGTCGTATTGCCATGCAGTTTGTATGTTTTATTTCAGGTTAAGAGCTTTAAATCATCACGGCAGTGTTCAGTCGCTACACACACACACACACACACACACATATATATATATATATGTAGCGAATTATGCATCGAAAAATAATTTGTATTTATCTGTACCTCACTCATTGAAACCGTTATTTAACTCCTCTCTTTAAAACTTCTCTCTGTTAAATTTTAATCCCCACCTTCACCTTTAGGCCTTCCTGTTCTTCTTTTTTTCTGTTACCCCTCTCTAGAGTTTTCATACATTTCCCTCTCACATTTGTTTCCCACTCCCACATATACACTACACTAAAATTTTGTTTTTTTTATACCCGGAGTTATATTTTCCGATTTCTTTTTGAAATTTTAGGTCTGATGAATTGGATCGTGATTACGATTCTAATGTAATAAATTATAACCATGGAATATTAGTGTTTGCGCCTTTTTATTATATATATATATATTTATTTTATTATATTTTATTTAATTTTTCTTGTGTTCAAACAAGTGTTTTCTTTTCTTGACTCAGAGTGTGTAGAAACTGCTCAAATGTTCTGTAATTCAGAGCGCTTTCGGTTATAATTTTAGCCATTATCAAGGTAGATTTTATTATTTTTGCTTTTTAACTGGGTGTATGGGTTGTGTGTATGTTTCTAGAGTTATAGGGATGTTTTATTTTCCAAGCACAGACAGAACATTCTGGCCGTGTTCGTAGTTAATATTATTAAGTGTTGGCTTCTTTTTATTATTAAGGCTTCAATTATTTCTAATCTTCTTTTACATGTGGATGAGGTTATTATGTTTGGAATTTCTGCTAACATGTTTTGGATGGCATCTGATAAGTTTGTGTGTGTGTATGTTTAAATGGGTTCTAATAGAGCTGTGGTCGGCTAGGTGTAACGTAAGGCATCTGGATAGGCATGTAGTAGTGCGGCCGATGTAATTATTTATGAATTCGTTTTGATTAGTGTTGTGTCCAAGTAAATGGTTAAGAAATAACAAAACCAGGGTTACAGATATATCATATAGTAAACCGTCAGTACAACAGAAGATCATTACACGACGAGTGAGTGTGTGTCGGTTGATCCAGCGTTCAATCTATTCGACTGTTGATGTTTACCAGCCTCCCCACGCGGTCAGATGTGGCACAAGGACGAGTTTAGCGTGGGTTCTCCGAAATCGTAGGCTAGGCTAAAAATTCCTCGTAGACCCTGTATAAAACGGGGTCGGATAGCTGTTTCCCGAGACGAGACTATCTTTCGACATAGCCCCGTCTGGTGATCCTCTCTGCCCGGAGGCAGAGAGTTTGAACAACACAGTGCGAACAGAGCTGTTCGACGGATCACCCAAGACCTTCTCTCCTACTAATCTTATAGTAGGCGGAAGAGTCCAACATACCTATCTATCTATCTATCTATCTATCTATCTATCTATCTATCTATCTATCTATCTATCTATCTGTGTGTGTGTGTGTGTCCGTATCCTATAAATTCCCATACATAGGAAAAACCATATCTATTTATATAATACAGTCTATATAACTACCATTCTGTTGAAAACACACTTCAGTGCGTACCCTTCACAGCAGAACAGGTTCAAGCACTGCTAGAGTTATACTTGTAATGACGTTGGTGATACATTGGCTGAGAGGATTTATGTTTTCCTGATACACCATGCCCATCAAATGAACCAAGTCAGGTAAGGTCTGGGAATCTGGAAAGCTATTCCAAAAGATGACGGCCACCAATTCAAACACATTTATTTGAGAAAAAAAAAACAACTTCCAGGGTATCTGAAATACAAAATAATACAATGTTAAAAACCATATCCATAGAAACTTATGGCATACACTGTGTGTATATATATATATATATATATATATATATATATATATATATATATATATATATATATATATGTGTGTGTGTGTGTATGTATGTGTGTGTGTGTGTAACAAAACTAAGAGAACGAAAGTGACATGTTGTTCCTGTGTATATAATTGTGTATGTGTGTGTGAGTGTGTGTGTGTATATTTGGCCACAAATCTAACCAAGAGAACGAAAGTGACATTTTTTGTATATATATATATATATATATATATATATATATATATATATATATATATGTGTGTGTGTGTGTGTGTGTGTATGTGTTTGTGTGTGTGTATGTGTGTGTGTATATTGTGCAACAAAACTAACCAAGAGAACGAAAGTAACATTTTTCCTGTATATATATATATATATATATATATATATATATATATGTGTGTGTGTGTGTGTGTGTGTGTGTTTGAGTGTGTGTGTGTGTGTGTGTGTGAGTCTATGTGTGTATATTGTGCAAAAAAACTAACCAAGATAGCGAAAGTGACATTTTGTTTTTTGTGATTTGTTATTTGCTAATGTCTCGTAATCATGGCGGCAGACATCGCTATTAAGTGATTTAAAATTTAAAACGTTCATATTTGTTAAATATATGAGTTTCGTTAAAGGCGCCGGGCGAGGGATAATTTTCTGTCCATTATCTGTTTGCTAAAATATACGTTCGCCTTATAGTCTCTCTGACATTTCGAAATATCTACTGAGATTGAGACGTGCAAACTTGATGAATCTAGTGCAGGGTTGCAGAAAACGATTATCTCCCTTTTGATAGAGATAAAACACATGGTTTACGAGACGAGCTGCTTAGTGACGCCACTCCATATATAGTGACGAAAGCGGCAGTCAGTTTCAGTTTTTTAAACTAGCCGAACTTAGAGGTTGATTTCTTTAGCCACCTCCTCTACGCAATGGCCCAGGTAGCGACTAAATCTACCTCCCCCAGCAGCTTACATGTCCATTGTGCCTTTTCCTTTTGGGAATACATCTTTCATAGATATAGAATGAAACTCTCTCTATATATATATAGTTTTTTTTTTGGTGTAAGAATAACAATTGGAAAAAAAAATCTAAGTTTTTTTTTGCCGACGCTTTTCGTCTTCCGATTTTATCAAGGCAAAAATGAAAGCGAAATGTTTTTGTCTTCATACTTGCATTAAAGCCAAAATTTAAAAAAAAAAATGAGAGACGCTTTTGCGTAAGCCTCTTTCTGGCTAATGTTAACTTCGTGTTTAACTTCGTTTATACTAAGAGTTTGTTTTGTTGTTTGTTTCCATGTCGACACTATAGTAAAATTCCCAGAACACTTCTGTGAATAAGACAAATTGTTATAAGAATAACAAATGGAAAAAAAAAACCTTAGTTATGTTAGTATTAAATCTTCTACCAATTCGTCTTATCCACAGAATGTTACTATATTGTCGACATAGAAAAAATAACTCTTAGTATAAAGGAAGTTAATATTAGCCAAAAAGAGGCTTACGCAAAAGCGTCTCTCTTTTTTTAAATTTTGGATTTAATGTAACTTTGACAACAAAAACATTTCGCTTTCATTGTTTCCCTTAACAAAGTAGGAAGAAGAAACATGTCGGCAAAAAAAAAAAAGAAAAAAATGTTTTTTCCTATTGTCATTCTTATAACAGTTTGTCTTATCCACAAAATTGTTCTGTGAATTTTACTATA